TTTTTTTTTTTTTTTTTTTTGAGACAGAGTCTTAGTTTGTCACAGCTAACAGCAATCTTCAAACTATTGGGCTTTAGTGATCCTCTTGCCTCAGCCTCCCAAGTAGCTGGGACTACTGCCCACCACAATGCCCAGCTATTTTTTGTTGTAGTTGTCATTCTTGTTTAGCTGGCTCTGGCTGAGTTCAAACCCACCAGCCTCGGTGTATGGGGCTGGCGCCATAACCACTGTGCTGCGGGCACTGAGCCTATAGTTGATTTTTCTATATAAATGTCATACTTCATCAACACGCTTTAAAGGTACAGAAAAGCTATATCCCTGTAACGTCTGTGTTTTCATTAGTGATTGTCTTTACTATATTCAGCCTTTCTGTGTTATTTTAGGCCTCATAAGTGCATCATGTGTATCTTATTAGAGAGGCTTATGGCTCTAGTAGGTGAGTTTAATCTTATTTCTTGTCATTACTCATTTATTCCAGCTTATTTCTGCTAGTTTTGTGGGTTTTCTATACTATACATTATCTTCTGTTGTTATTATCTCCTTTTCTTCATTAACCCATCACATTTTATCCCTTTTTTTTTTTCCTAAGACAGAGTCTTACTTTGTTGCCCTCAGTAGAGTGCCATGGCATCACAGCTCATAGCAACCTCAAACTCTTGGACTCAAGTGATTCTCTTGTCTCAGCCTCCTGAGTAGCTGGGACTACAGGTGCCCACCACAACACCTGGTTGTTTAGAGATGGAGTCTCCCTCTTAGCTCAGGCTGGTCTTGAACTGTAAGCTCAAGCAGTCCATCAGAGTGCTAGGATTACAGGCACATTTTATCTTTATTCTAACATACAAAGTTAATAATTCTTGACATTTCCCTTCTGAATGAAACAATTTAGTATGCCAGGGAGAAGTGGGATAAATGACCTAGGGCAGTATGCAAAGGGATTTGGGCTGTGGGGCTGGGAAGGACAGCCTGGGGCAGGGAACAGAGCCAGGAAGGGTATGACAGCAGGACTGTTTATGACAGTACCAAGTAGCCTGAATTGTGGGAAAAGGGACTAGGCTGGGCCTCCACATGCTCCTCTCTCTTCCAGCAGCACCTGAGTAACCAGCTCTTGGCCACTGCCCCCAGAGAGCCCAGAGTGCAGGCAATGGCCTTGTTCCTGTCTGCCCCAGCCCAGGTGAGTGTCCTCCTGGGAAGTGAGGTCTCCACCCAGGGTTTTCCTTAGCAAACACTGTCAGATGTCTCTGGTATGGGATGCTGATATCAAAGGAGGGATGACTTTGGGACACCCTGCAGCTGCCCCCTTTGCTGCTGCCTGTAGCGCCCTAGTGACCAGCCTGGGCCATATCTGGGCTATAGCAGCTCCTTTTGTTCTAGGCCGAGGTAACCTTTGAAGATGTGGTCGTGCTCCTTTCCCAAGAGGAGTGGGGCCATCTGGGCCCTGCTCAGAGGGGCCTTTACAGGGACGTGATGCTGGAGACCTATGGAAACCTAGTCTCACTGGGTAAGGCCCCTTGCCAGGACTCAGCTCTGGGAACAATCCCAGAGATGGGCATGCTGACCCTTGTCCTGGTCAGGCATATGGTCTGAAAAGAGTGGACTGGCTATGCTAGTTGGGGCCCTCCTCAGTCAGCCCATTTCTCTTCTGAGCTCCTCTCAGAGGAGGCAGGCCCTATCCTTAGGTCTGAGATAGACCCGTGCCCAAGGGGGTCCGTACCTCCTGCCAGAAGCACTATGCTCTTGTTCTCGGAGCTCAGACCTTCATCTTCATGACCACATGGAGCTCAGTCTTTGTCTTCTCCAGAGGGGTCCAGATTTCCATTACCCCCTGTACCTGTGCTTCCCTTCCCTCTATAGCCTGAGGGCAGGACAGCCCAGGTACCAACCCCTGGCCTTGTCTCCTTTCCAGGAGTAGGACCTGCAGGTCCCAAGCCTGGAGTAATCTCACAGTTGGAGCGAGGGGACGTGCCATGGGTCTTGGATGTGCAGAGTGTCTCGGGGAAAGGGCAACTGAGAGCTGGCAGCTCAGGTGCGTGAGGGAATCAGCTTCCCTAGCCTGGTCACTGAATAAGCATTTGTTGGGATCCAAGACATCTGGTTAGTGATTCAGAAGTTTAGTGAGAAGATGTACCAAGTCTAGCATGGGAGGTCTGTGAGAGGGGCCTCTGCTGAAGCCGGGGTAACCTTTGTCAGCCTGGGCACCTCGGTGGGAATATTCTTGAGCAGAACCTAGGGATGTAATGGGAAGCAGTGTTGAAGAGGAGACTAGGGAAGGGTACTCCAGGCAGGGCTGATGCAGGACCCCAGAGAGTCCTGCCCTCCAGAGTGTATGTCCCAACAGGAGGTCTGACCACAGAGGCGCAGCAATGGAGACATCACTTCATTTCCCTTCTGCACAGCCTGTTACAGGAGAGCAAGAAGACACCTTATCCCCTGCTCAGCCACAGCTGTGTGTTCCCTGCTGTTTCTTTTCTGCCACTGACCTTTCCATCCCTATACATGGACACAGCTGCTTCTCAGGGTGATCTGTGCTCAACTGCATTGCCCACTTTTCTTTTTTTTTTTTCTTTTTTTTTTTTTGAGACGGAGCTTCAAGCTATCCCCCTGGGTAGAGTGCCATGGCATCACGCTCACAGCAACCTCCAACTCCTGGGCTCAAGCGAGTCTCCTGCCTCTGCCTCCCAAGTAGCTGGGACTACAGGCACCCGCCACAACGCCTGGCCATTTTTTGGTTGCAGCCATCATTGTTGTTTTGACGGGCCCGGGCTGGGGTTTCGAACCTGCCACCTTAGGTGTATGTGGCTGGCGCCTTAGCCACTTGAGCCACAGGCGCCGAGCCTGCCCACTTTTCTGAATGTGTTTCCATTTCTGTGCACAGGAGTCTTGGTCACGCTTTTGTGGAACTGCCAGCAGAAGGTTGTTACCTGATGTCACTGCCATGGGCAGCTCTCATACTAATTTTTTCCCGCGTGCTGGATGGTGCCCTAGGAAGGAATTTCTGGCTCTAAGGGCTTACTCTACGTTTACAGCTTAGTGAATTTCTGTTATAAATCATCCTCCAGATCAAACTACAGAATTTTTGACTCCCCTGGAGCCAGCCCCTGGGTGCGTCCTGTCCTTTCCCACTGTTGCCTACAGGAGCCGTCTTTCTGATGCCTGTCAAGAGAGGCTGTTTGGCCACGTGGAATTCCCTACCTGGACTCTTGCAGGGGTCTTTTGCTGAACATTGTTAGAATTGCTCCTGTTTCAGAGAATAGCAGTTTGATCGGTTTTTGTTTACCAGACAGTGTTCTATGTGTGAACACCACAATTTATTTTCCCTTCTGCTTGTGGAGGACACTTGCTTGTCCCCAGTTGGGTGCTTGTGCGAGAAGGCTGGGATGTCCTTGTGCGCATTATCTCTGTGGGACTTGGAATGCACTTCCTATGGGTGTGTACCTGGAGTGCAGTCCCTGGATCATAAGATGTTCATAGAGCAGGGTTTTTTTGTTTGTTTGTTTGTTTGTTTGTTTGTTTGTTTTTTGCAGTTATTGGCCAGGGCTGGGTATGAACCCGCCACCTCCGGTATATGGGGCCTACTCCTTGAGCCATAGGCTCCGCCCCCATAGAGCAGCTTTATTATTTATTTATTTATTTATTTTTTGAGACAGAGTCTCAAGCTGTCCCCCAGAGTGCCGTGGCATCATAGCTCACAGCAACCTCCAACTCCTGGGCTCAAGTGAGTCTCCCTCCTCAGCCTCCCAAGTAGCTGGGACCACAGGTGCCCACCACAATGCCTGGCTATTTTTTGGTTGCAGCCGTCATTGTTGTTTGGCGGGCCCGGGCTGGATTCGAACCCACTGCCTAAGGTGTATGTAGCTGGCCCCTTAGCTACTTGACCCACAGGCGCCAAGCCTATAGAGCAGCTTTAGATGATGCTGCCAAACCATCTTCCCAAGCAGCAGCTTGAGGGTACACCCTGCTGCAGTGAGTGAGCTGTGTGTGCTATGTGTCAGGGCAGACACTTTGTTCAGCACCTGTCCACATACAGGGCAGAGCAGGGCAGGCCTCTGGGCACTGGACAGAGAGCGGTGATGACAGTGGCCATCACAAGCATCTTGCATCTGAGAATCTGGGCACTGGGCTGAGTGTTTGATTGTCAGTCTTTTATTTAACTGTTTCATTCTCATAACAGTGCCACACAGCAGCAACTGGCATGACCTGTGTTTTTCAGATGGGTATACCAAAGCTCAGAAAGGTAAGTAATTTGCCTCAGTTCACTCAGCTGGCAAGTGGGGACCAGGACTGATCATTTCTGAGTATAGCTGCTGGTATCAGTCTCTGAGGGGCCGTGTGATAGGAACCCCATTGGGTACTTGTCCCTATCCACTTGCTCTTTGGGAATGGCCACCCAGGAAAGCTTGATGTATCGGTGCTATGGCAGGGAAGGCAAGGATGGATTTTTGTAGGCATCAGCAAGTGTTCCATGAGGCGTCCTGAGTCTAAGTTGCTGCTGGCTCACCTAGGGGGCTCCTCAGCCCCCAGGAAGGGCCCTGGAAGTAGAGTGACCTGCTAGAGAGGTGAGGGCCCAGTTTTATGTGTGCTTCACCTTCTTCCTGCAGCATTAGCATTAACGTGGCCCTATGCCCTCCAAGGAAGGGAGCTGGTTTTCTGGTCATGAATTTAGGGGTGGCTGAGACTTATTTGGTCTTAGTTTCTTTGTCATTAACCTCCATGAGTTTTGGGGTCCCACTTTGCTCTGGTTGTAACAGCAGTATGAAGCCTATGTCTTCTGTCCCTTTGTTGTAGTGAGGACAGCACCCTACAGTGGCAGGCAGGCAGGCAGGAGGGTGTGGATGTTGAGTTTGCTGAGGCTATTAAAACACTTGCTCTGTTGCATGACTCAGTCCTTGGGAAAGTCTTCAAGCCTCTGTGCTCCAGGTTCTCAACTCTGCAAGGCTGTTGTGACTTTGGCAATGGCTGAATTGGTAGTTCACAAGTGGTCAGCAGCATCTTCATACCTTCTTTCCAGAGTCAGAACAGGTGGCCCTTAGATCTTCTATTTGTTGTTTCAGCCTGTGAGACCAGGACAGAGTACACAGAGTTGACTTCAGGGGAAACATTTAATGGGGAAGAACTGGACCAACTCAGGGGGACTTTTTCCTGGGGACCTGAGCCAGGAGAAGCCCATGACCATGTCAGGGAGTTGGAGGGGAGCCTGGATGAGCCAGTGGAGCACAGAGCCTCCAGGCCAGTCATACTGGCAAATGGGGAAAGCCGCTGGGAGTCTGAGGGAAACCTCAGGTTGTGGTCAAGCCCTGTCCCTGATCAGAGACCTCACAAATGTGATATATGTGAGCAGAGTTTTGAGCAGAGATCATGCCTCAACAACCATAAGCGTGTACATACGTTAAAAAAACCAAATACGGTTCATGATTCTGGGGAAATCTTCAATGTAAACTTAATTGTTAAGGAAGATCAGGAAATTCCTACTGGAAAAAAGTTGCATTATTGTGGTTACTGTGGGAAAACATTCAGGTACAGTGCCAACCTTGCCAAGCATCAGCAGCTTCACAGTGAAGAGAAGCCCTACAAGTGTGGTGAGTGTGGGAAAGCCTTCAGCCAAAGCTGTGAGTTCATCAATCATCAGCGGATGCATTCTGGGGAGATCCCCTACCGGTGTGATGAGTGTGGAAAGACATTTAATCGGAGGCCCAATCTCATGAAACATCAAAGGATTCATACTGGGGAGAAGCCCTACAAGTGTGGCGAGTGTGCGAAACATTTCAGTGCTTACTCTTCCCTTATTTATCACCAGAGAATCCACACTGGAGAGAAGCCCTATAAATGTACTGACTGTGGGAAAGCCTTCAGTGATGGCTCAATCCTTATCCGTCATCGTCGGACTCACACTGGAGAGAAGCCATTTGAATGTAAAGACTGTGGCAAAGGCTTTACCCAAAGTTCTAACCTTATCCAACATCAGAGAATTCACACTGGAGAGAAACCCTATAAATGTAATGAATGTGAGAAGGCCTTTATCCAAAAAACCAAACTTGTTGAACATCAGAGAAGCCACACTGGAGAGAAGCCCTATGAATGTAATGACTGTGGCAAGGTTTTCAGCCAGAGCACTCACCTCATCCAGCACCAGAGAATCCACACAGGAGAGAAGCCCTACAGGTGCAGTGAGTGCGGGAAGGCCTTCCACAACAGTTCTAGACTCATTCACCACCAGAGGTCGCACCATGGAGAGAAGCCTTACAAGTGCGGTGACTGCAAGAAAGCCTTCAGCCAGAGTACTTACCTGTCCCAGCACCAGAGGATCCACACAGGAGAGAAGCCCTACAGATGCCGCAAGTGCGGGAAGGCCTTTCGGCACAGCTCTAACATGTGCCAGCATCAGAAGCTCCATCTTCGGGAAGACTTACCCTCTTGATGGTGGAGGTTTTGTGCAGCAGAGTTCTACAGTGCAACTCCTTCACATGCTCTTGATTCCCCCCTTTCCCTCTATTTATTGTCCACATAGTGTTTTCATAAGGTGAAGGTGCATTTCTCTCCAATTAAAGAAATCTTTCTTAAGCCATAAGCTATGCATGTTCATTTTAGAGAAATTAAGAGAGGAAAATGAGGACATTTTATTATCTCTCCCATTTAGAAAAAAAGGACTCATTGCTACTGATTTTTGTTGTTGTTGTTGAGATAGAGTCTCACTCTGTTGTCCCAGGTAGAGTGCTATGGTATCACAACTCACAGCAACCCCAAACTCTTGGGCTTAACACATTCTCTTGCCTCAGCCTCCGAAGTAGCTGGGACTACAGGTGCCCACCACAATGCCCAGCGATTTTTTGTTGCAATTGTCATTGTTTTTAGCTGGCCCCTGGCCGAGTTGGAACCCACCACCCTCCATGTATGTGGCTGATGCTCTAACCACTGTGCTACGGGCGCTGAGCCTCATTGCTGCTGATTTAGGATATTTAAAACACACTAGAGAGCTTATTTTTTTTCTTTGAGACAAAAGTCTTAAGCTGTCACCCTGGGTACAGTGCTGTGGGAGTCATAGCTCACAGCAACCTCAAACTCTTGGGCTCAAGCTATCTTCTTGTCTCAATTTTTCTATTTTTAGTAGAGACAGGGTGTCACTTTTGTTCAGCCTGGCCTCCAACTTATGAGCTCCAGCAATTGACCCACCTTGGCCTCCCAGAGTGCTAGGATTGCAGGTGTGAGCCACCGTGCCTGGCCTATTTTTTTTTTTTTTAAGATAGTCTCATTCAGTTGCCCTGGGTAGAGTGCTGTGGCATCATATCTCACAGCAATCTCAAACTTCTGAGTTCAAGCAATTCTTTTATTTTACCTCAGCCTCCCAAGTGGCTGAGATTACAGGTACTTGCCATAGTGCCCAGCTAATTTTTCTTGCTCAGGTTGGTCTTGAACTCTTGAGCTCAAAGGATCCTCCTACCTTGGCCTCCCAGAGTGCTGGGATTACAGGTGTGAGCTTGCATGCCAGGCCTGGAGAACATTTATTTATTTTCATTTATTTATTTATTTAGACAGAGTCTCGCTTTGTTGCCCTTGGTAGAGTGCCATGGCTGGGATAATAGGTGTGAACTTTCACACCGGGCCTAGAGATTATGTATGTATGTATTTATTCATTTATTTAGAATAAATGATAAGAGTCTCTCCTCACCTTTGGTAGGGTGCTGTGGCGTCATAGCTCACAGCAGCCTCAAATTCCTGGACTCAAGCAATTCTCTTGCCTCAGCCTCCCAAGTAGCTGGGACTACAGGCAACTGCCACAACACTCGGCTATTTTGTTGTTGTAGTTGTCATTATTGTTTAGCAGGCCCCAGCTGGGTTCAAACCCGTCAGCCCAGTGTATGTGGTTGGCACCCCTATGGGTGCCAAGCCTGGAGAGTATTTTTAAAAGAAAATAATGTTATGCTTGTCTTTGCAATACCTAGGACCTTCACCTTTACTGTTTCTTTAGTACTTGAAAATTCACACTGGAGAAAACTTTTGGCATATTTTTCTACATTGTAAATAAGAAATGATATTCTTTTCTGTATCACTTCATAGGGTTGAAGATGTCTTTTTTTATTGTAGTAAAATATACATAACATAAAATTTACCTTTTTAACCATTTTTTTTTTTGAGACAGAGTCTCACTATGTCACCCTTGGTAGAGTACCATGGTGTCACAGCTCACAGCAACCTCCAATTCTTGGGCTTCAATGATTCTCTTGCCTCAGCATCCCAAGTAGCTGGGACTACAGGCATCCGCCATAACATCTGGCTATTTTTTGGTTGCAGTTGTTATTTAGCTGGCCCTGGCTGGGTTCAACCCCATGAGCCTTGGTGTATGTCCATTTTTAATTGTACAACTTAGTGGTATTAAGTATATTCACAATGTATGACCATCACCACTGTCTTATTTCCAGTGCTGTTTTACTATTCCAAACAGAAACTGTACCTGTCAAACAGTAACTCTTGACCAGGCATGGTGGCTCATGCCTGTAATCCTAGCACTCTGGGAGGCTGAGGCAGGTAGATCTTGAGCTCACGAGTTCAACACCAGCCTGACCAAAAATCAAGACCCTATCTCTACTAAAAATAGAAAAATTGAGATAAGAGGATTGCTTGAGGCCAAGCGTTGGAGGTTGCTGTAAGCTATGACACCATGGCACTGTACCAAGGGCGACAGCTTGAGACTCTGTCTCAAAAAATTTTCAAAAAAAAATAAACCAATAACTCTTCACTCCCCCTTCTCCCTGCTGCTGGTTACTTCAGTTGTATTTTGTCTCTGAATTTGCCTATTCTAAGAACTTCATGTGAGTGGAATCATATAATATGTATCATATTATGTCTGGTTTAGTTCATTTAGCATAATGTTTCCAGGCTTGTCCCTGCTGTATCCCTGTACCAGAGCTCTATTCCTTTGTGTAACTGAATAATAGTCCATTGTACGTGTACACCACATTGTTATCCTTTCATCTGTGTTGGACAATTGGGTATTTCTACCTTTTGACCATTTTATTTATTTGAGACAGAGTCTCACTTGTTTTCCACAGTAGAGTGCTGTAGTGTCACAGCTCACAGCAACCTCAAATTCTTGGGCTTAAGCGATTCTCTTGCCTCAGCCTCCCAAGTAGCTGGGCCTACAGGCTCCTGCAACAATGCCTGGCTAATGATTCACATTTTCCTAATGACTACTGTGGTTGAACATCTCTTCAGGTGCTTTTTTTTTGTCGTTAATTTTCCATTTATTGATTTATGTGCTTGGTTAACAAGAAAGGGTTCGTTTGAAGATTTCATTGTTCAATTTTTATATTTAGGCTCGGCGCCTATAGCTCAACCGGCTAAGGCGCCAGCCACGTACACCTAGGGTGGCGAGTTCGAATCCCCAGCCCGGACCCGCCAAAATAACAATGACGGCTGCAACCAAAAAATAGCCGGGCATTGTGGCGGGCGCCTGTGGTCCCAGCTACTTGGGAGGTGGAGGCAGGAGACTCGCTTGAGCCCAGGAGTTGGAGGTTGCTGTGAGCTGTAATGCCACGGCACTCTACCCAGGGGGATAGCTTGAGGCTCCTGTCTCAAAAAAAAAAAAAAAAAAAAATTTTATATTTATATTTATAATTTTATAAACTTTATTTAAAAAATACACTTTGTGGCAGTGTACAGTGGCTCATGCCTGTAATCTGGGAGGCTGAGGCGGGATTGCCTGAGGTCACAGGTTCAAGATCAGCCTGAGTAAGAGTGAGACCCTGTCTCTAAAAAAACAAATAGCCGGCTGTTGTGGCAGGCGCCTGTAGTCCCAGCTACTTGGGAGGCTAAGGCAAGAGGATCACTTGTGCCTAAGAGTTTGAGGTTGCTGTGAGCTAAGACACCACAATACTCTATTGAGGGTGATTAAATGAGACTCTCAAAAAAAGTACACAAAGATACACTTTGTACCCATTTATGCAATGTACAGTTGTGTAATGCACAAGGGCAAATTTAAAAAATTTGTTTAGGCTCAGTACCTGTAGCTCAGCAGCTAGGGCACCAGCCACATAGACTGGACCTGACAAACAATAGTGACAACTACAGCCAAAAATAAAAATAGCCAGGCATTGTGGTGGGGGCCTTGTAGTCCCAGCTACTTGAGAGGCTGAGGCAAGAGAATTGCTTAAACCCAAGAGTTACAGGTTGCTGAGAACTATGATGCCAAGGTACTCTACTGAGAACCACATAGTGAGACTGTCTCAAAAAAAAGAAATAGATAAATAAATAAAATGTGCTTTTGTTGCAGGAAGATGAGGCCCACTGGAGAGAACGAGCACCCAAACACTGTGTTTAAAAGAGGAAGGGATTGGGCGGCGCCTGTGGCTCAAAAGGGTAGGGCACCGGTCCCATATGCTGGAGGTGGTGGATTCAAATCCAGCCCTGGCCAAAAATGGCAAAAATAAAATAAATAAATAAATGTTTTTAAAAAAAAAAAAAGAGGAAGGGATTTATTCTAGCCAATGGAGCAACAGCAAACTAGAGTCTAAAATGGCTATGCTTCCCAACTGCCTCAGTCTTCTCCTTTTTATCTCCAGACAAAAGTTCCAGCCCCCAGGTACCTTTTTCATTAGTCAGTTTGAATCAAGCTGGAGAAGTGGCTCAGCCTTTTACAGAACTGTGGGCTTTTACAGAAGTGGAAGGAAGTGTTAGTTTCCTGGTCTCAGGAAGTTGAGTTTCTACAAATTCCTAAGATCTGAGTCCCCATGGGGGAGAACCTTGCAGGTGTATCCTTGGGGTTTCCTTGAGAAGACCTCTGTTCTTTTAGACCTCACTTTTTCTGGGTATCCTCTCTCAGTTTCACATTGCCTTTATTCATTTAACCATACCTTAGAAACCTGCCAGAAAGGTGTAGAAGTACAACTACTAGAGTGTACTACTACAACTCATTCCTTCTTGAGCTATGTTGTATGGGTCTACAAAATTTTAAATGGTTTAATCTTTTATTGAGACAGAGTCTCACTGTGTCGCCCTTGGTAGAGTGTGGTGGCATCACAGCTCACAGCAACCTCCAACTCTTGGGCTTAAACGATTCTCTTGCCTTACCTTCCCAAGTAGCTGGGTCTACAGACGCCCGCCACAATGCTCAGCTATTTTTTTTTTTTTTTTGGGCTGTTGTTGCAACTGTCATTTAGCAGGCCCGGGCCAGGTTTGAACCCTCTAACCTTGGTGTATGTGGCTGGCACCCTAACTACTGAGCTATGGGCACTGAGCCCCATTTGTGTGTGTGTATATATATATATTTTTTTTTTTTT